AGAAGAGATGGAGGAATGGAGGGGAAGGAGGGGAGGTGAGGAGGGGTGAAGGAGGACAGAGGGAGGGAAGAGGGAGGGACTCAGAGAGAGGAGAGGCATCATGGAGAGCAATTTCAAGGAAGGAACCAGACATTAGGAAGCAAAAGTGTGGTGCCAAGGCACCACGTCTACCCTCCTTGAACCCATGAAGAGTTTAGATGATTCGCCATTTTGGCCACAGAGCCTTCTGGGGTAGACCAAGGATAGACAGAGCTTGAGCCTAGGTCTGCCGAATCCAGGGCGCCTGGAGCTTCCGCACTGTTGGGTCAGGACACCCAGGACACTGGGCAAAGACGAGGGGGGCCATGGCATGCTGTTGTGAGGCTGTGGACGGGCTGCACAGGGCGCCCCCCTGGGAAGGGTCTGCCTCCGCCCCACCGCAGCGCCAGGAGCCCCCAAAGGGAGGGACTGGATGGGCTGCTGGCCTCTCTGCCCCCCTATACTATCACTTCCCGCTCCCGGAGAACGCTTTCAGGGAGGTACAGTGGCCCCCTGGAATCCACAGTTTCGGTCACCTGCAGGAACCCCCAGCGTAGGTCTGCGGCGTGGAACTGGGGCATCTGCCCCGCCCGGCAGCCGTATCCCCGTGGGCCGCTCTCGTGGCTGCCGAGCGAACCCACTGGCGGGCCGGGTTCAGAGCTCAGTGTCACCTCGTTGTGCCCCGTTGTTTCCCCTTTTGTGGCGAGAGCTCGATGGAGGATAGTAGTATTCCTAAATAGTACAATTATTTTTAGAACCTCGAGAAGTGTATCATTCAGGGAAGGAGAGGGGTGCACGCCCCGAGGGTTGAGTTGAGCTTATCAAAGGGATTACAGTTACTATTTACAACCAGGGAGCCCGTGTGATACAATCCAACCTGCACGGCACAGATTCGGGGACTCAGTGACAGAGACTGGTAGGGGAGCGAGGGGAGGGTATCACGGGCTTCTGCTCCCCTTTGACGACTGAAGGGCCCTCCTCAGCCTCCAGGAGTCCTCAGCTGTCAGCCCTTGTGGGGGGCACCAGGGCCCGGAACCCTCCCCTCAAGGGGGTGAAACATTTTGGCAACACTACAGAGGTGGTGAGGAGGTAGAGAGAGGAACTCTGACGCTCTGCTGAGGATGTCAATGGGTCCTGACCAACTGGAGGCCCATCTGGCAAGACTAAGGACGGCAGGATGTCTGCAGAGGGCTTGAGCTAGAATTCCACTCTGAGATACATACTCTAGAGAAACTTCAGCAAGAGTGCGAGGACACTGGGACAAAAATGGTCAGTAACGTATTGTTTGTAATAGCAGAAACTTGCAACAGTCTAAATGCCCATTGACAGAAGACGGCGTCAACAGCTTGCCGTGTATTAACACGATGGAATGTTCTACAGACGCAAAGTGACTGAACTCTAGCTCTATGTATCAACATCGGGCAAATGGCCAAAGGATAATGTTGAGCAAAAAAAGAAGGTGAGTTGCACCAGGCTGTATATAGTGGTATAACAATCTCTAATGTGTGTGTATATATATATATATATATATATATACACACACATATATATGTATTATAATTATTATAGAATAAAAAACTTTAAGATATGTAAACTTTAACACCATATGCAATAGCATAATTATTTATGGAGACAATATTTGTATTGATAATATAAAAACATGCCTGGGAATAATAACTAAACTCAGAGGGAGGGGAGAGAGGGAAGAATCAGGGAAGGGTACAGAAGGGGACTCTGATTGTGTCTGTATTGCTTTTTTTTTTTTTTTTTTTTTTTTGCGAGAGAGAGAATGAGAGACAGAGAGCATGAGAGGGAGGAGGGTCAGAGGGAGAAGCAGACTCCCCGCCGAGCAGGGAGCCCGATGCGGGACTCGATCCCGGGACTCCAGGATCATGACCCGAGCCGAAGGCAGTCGCTTAACCAACTGAGCCACCCAGGCGCCCCTGTATCGCTTTTTTTAAAACTGAAGAAAATCGGGCAAAATGTTAAAATTCTATAAACCTGGTGGCAGGTACACGGTGCTCCTTAGATTACTTGCTCTTCTGCTCACTGGAATCTTGCATACATTTTCAAGGTCTCTAATATTTCATGAATCTCATTCTGGGACCCTGGGGCTGAATATTTTAATCACCCCTTAGTTAACTAACTTGACTCACTTGTCCCTAAACACTCGCAACCTCCTCTAACCTCTGCCCACAGGCTCTCTAAAAGCCACCCCGGGCTCCCCCAGCCCGGCCTGGGGTCCTGGAGAATGCACCATTGTCAAATACCGTGTTCGCTTCAGTTTGTTTGAAGTATGGTCTCATACGCAACCTGCCTCCAGAAACACGTGACTTAGTTCTGCATAAGCCCTAGAGAGGCTTCGAGCATGACAAAAGGAGTCCGGAAAGCCTCATCTTCCTCACCAGCTACCTCTGGAAGGCCCAGGTCCTGGGAAGCCTGAGGACTACCCGTACAGAAGCGAAGGCTTTTCCTGTCATTGTCACCCCCGGAGGGCCTGGGTCCCCTCCGAGCCCTTAGCTGATCTCCACCCTCAGGCGGTTTTGTGGGGGGTGCGGGGTTGTTGCCTGCCTTTGCCAAAAGCAAAGACCAACCCCCACGGTTTCAAGAATTTCACTTTGGGGCAGAAAGCAATGCCCCTCCAGGTTATTTCTCCAAATCCACACTAAACAGGCCTTTAAGGACATATCTAATCAGCTTGGCCTTGGGTCCTGACAAGAAAAACCAAAGTGGTCCTTTGTTTCCGACCTCAGAAACCCCCACTCCCACACTTGTAGTTCTCTGCCTCCCCCAACCCCTGCTAGAGGGAAGATGAGAACTCGCTCACTCCAGGTGACATTCCAGGAGGACAAGACAGAACCCTGGGAGGGTGGGAAGGGGGGGGCGAGTCCGTCCTTCCATCCTGGCCTTGCCGGCCTTCATCCCTGGGCTCCGTGAGGCCCCCTTTACAAAGGGGGCTGCTCCCCAACCCCCACTGTGCTCCCACACCGAGCACGTGCTGGCCAGGTGGCGGTGAATCTGACAGTGACTCCCTGCCTCCTCGGAGCTCACCTTCTAGCAGGGAGACAGGCGATTTATAAGAAAACAAATGATCAGCTAATGTAATTGCAGGTGGGGACACATGCTCAGTAGAAAAGCAAAGTGGGAGCGTGGGAGAAGGCAGGACTGAGACAGGAGGCCCAGGATGGAGCCCAGGGCCTCACCCGTAGGATCAGGAGGCCTCTCTAGGGACTTTTGGATTTCAGAGCCCTTAGGGTGTCCACTCAAAGCATGGGGGGTGCAGTGTTATAACTTCTGAAGTGACAGCCCTGTGAAGACAGTGGTGGAGAAGCCAGCTGGAACCCAGGTCCCCCACTTGCCCCCTCCCTGCTCCCCTGCACACACCACAGGGCCTTTGCAGATGCTGCTTCCTCCATCAGGAATGAATCCATCCCAGATATTCACCTGGACTCCCCTCCCACCTCATTCAGATCTTTTCTGGAAGGCCTTGCCTAACCTAAAATAGCAACTTCTTCCCTCTTCCTTCCTTCCTCTTGAGCTCCTTAATCTGCTTCACATTTCTTTATAAGAAGCGCCATTATCTGAAATAATCTTGCTCATTTATTTACTTCATGGTCTATCCCTCCCACCATTAGCATGTAAGACCATAAGGGCAGGGATGGAGTGTCAATGGATATGTATCACCAGTCCCCACAGTGGTGAGAGCACATAGGAAGTGCTCAATAAATGTTTGTTGAATGAATAAATGACATCCTAACTTCTTAGCATGACACACAGTCTCTCCCCGATCTGGCCTCTGCCCACTTCTCCAGCCAGATGTCCTGTCCCTCTCTCCAAGAATACTCCAACCATACTGAACACTTATGGGCTGGGGAGGTAACCCAGTCATTGACAGGTCCCAAGTCTTCGCACAGAATGTGCTATTTGTCTGGAATGCCCTTCCCTACTTTGTCTGTCTGTGGACAACTTGCTCTTATTTCTAGATTCAGCTTGAGCACTACATCCTGACAAAGCCTTCCCAGGCTCCCACAGACCAAGCTACCCCTCTCATTCCTTTGTCTGATACCTCCCGTACTCAAGCCTCTACACCTCTTATCTCACTTAGGTACTTGTCCATCTGCGTCCTCCTCTAGCCACTCAAGGGCAAGGCCAGGGTCTCCTTCATCTTGCATCTGCTGGAGCCAGCACAGAGCCTGGTACCCAGCATGTGCCCAGGGAATGTTGGTTGAGTAAGAGAAAGAATCAGCCAAATCTCCTGAGTTTTATTTTTCTTAATATTACTCTTAAAATTGCAAAAGTAATCCATGCTAATTAGTTTTTGCGCAAATACCCAAGTGTGCATATACAGGGAAAAGTAAAATTCTGAATTTTTTAGAACTCTCTTGAGCTGCTCCTGACCCCCAAGCACTTCCTCTCTAGTTTGGGAGAGCCCAGGCAGAGAGCCAGACGGTGCAGGGAAAGGAGACGGCCCAGGACCCTGACCATGGCCTAGCCGGGTCCCCCATGCATGTACCAAGCGGAAGTGGGAGTGAAACCCCCTGGTGAGGAGGTTAAGGCTGACACAGCTGACTAGCTGACTCCTCTACTAGAAACTTGTGACACCTTCTGCTTCCCCTCCCCCCAGCCCAGGAAAAAAAAATGTGCCTATGATGCTTTCTTATCACTTTAGGGCTGCCCACATTAGAACTTCCTGGAGAAGTTGGTAACATTAGCATCAGGAAAATGGATTCGTTGATCGTTCAGCCCTTCTATTTCTTCTTCTTCTCCTGTTTTTGGAAATAAACAGATTCTTTCTCAAGCTGGACCTTCACCATGGCCTTGGTGTTCCCCTTCTGCAGAAACCAAACGCAACCACCAAAAGCCCTCAGTGGCCAGGCCCACACGGCACTCCAAGGCAGCCTGTCCTTCTGGTAGACTCGGGCAAGCCAGCCAGCTTACAGCTCAAAAGTTGGCATCCCACACGGTTTTACTACAGAGAAACGATGCCCCGGTTGGCAGACATGAGTCTCTGGATGGCTCGAAAATCGTACTTCTCATTGTAAGTTGTGATTTTTAGGTTTTTTTCACTCCTAAAAGAGCTCTAGGCATTGGCTCTCCAGAGTCTACTCCAAGTCCCTCTTACCACCTTCTCCACTGTCCCTGCCTCTGGCCCCCAAGGCTGACACTTTGCCAAGGTCTCCTGTCATTGGTTTGCTTGACCAAGTATATCAGGTCCACGCCTCAATGTAAATCATAATTCACATTTGCCCGGTACCCTCAGGTTCACGGTTTGCTTTTGCATCAATTATCTGATTGAACCCTCTCCTCGTGGGGTGCAGAGACCCATGTTACAGGTGAGCAGACTGAGCAGCAAAAAAGGGAAAGCGATTCACTCAAATCGCACAGCTGGTTATGTAGCGCACTGAGACACAGACGTGCACAGTCCGACCCTGAGCCGGGCGCTTCTCCATCTACACAGGGGCACACCAGGGGAGATTATCTGCTTAATCTGAAATACAGAGAAGAAGCTCCCTGGGCTCAGACCTGGTTTGCAGAGACTTGGCTAAAGGCACCAAGAAGGTCGGAATCCTCAGTAAATACGGGAGCCAGGATAGTGCCTTGTGCAGGAAAATGGTGAAGAAGATTGAACTAAGCCAGCACAGGACAGCACTTTAAAATGGGAGAATGTTTGGAATATTTTAATGTGAGTTAACCCAATACAACATTAATCAGAAAAAAAAAAAATGTAACCAGTCAGCATTTAAAATTCCAGAGATTCCCCAAAACCATAAAACGGAACTGGTTTCCATTGCGCCTTCTGTGGCAAAACCAAAATGGAAAGACGAGCCTCAGGGATCCGGCACTGTGGTTCTTGCATGAAAACAGTGGCCGGCGGTGCCTGGCCCTGGGACACGGCTTCTGCCGTCACAGTGAAGTCTACCCAGCGGAGGCTGGAGGACCTGAAAATCCCCTAGAAGCTCCACCACATTGCTAGCTTATCATAAATGGGTTGATCTATGTAACAATTTTATGTTCACATTTCTAAAACATTTCTAAAAAATAGAACTATAGAGAAGAATAAGAGAGGTGTTAGAGTTCGTCATTTTAATAAGCATCACAGGGTGGGCCAGGCACTGAAATGAGACTCAGCAGAATGGGGAGGATTACGTTATATCTCACCAAATATATGACTCGGGCCCGGCAGGGCTGATTCACTTAGATTCAGTAGCGCTACAGTCTACACGGCTTCTGGAATATTGTAGAGTCACGCTCGGCTCCAACTGGTGGTGGGAGCTTGACATTCCAATGGCCCAGGACAAACAGCAGCCTTTCCACGCGTCAGGCTAGGACATACTCCTCACGAGCTATCACCTGCCTAACGGATCCCAATTCACATGAGACATCGAGTCCCCTGGAAGGCATCATGTCACACAAAGGAATTTTGTAGCTAGGGACATCTCAGAATAACGGGGTATTGTTTCCCCGTGACCCTGGAGTCAGTCCTTATAGATACCACAAGTTTTCAATAAAATGGAGGCCCCAAAGTTCTCGCTGCTTTACCCTGGTCCATCTCTGGATTCTTCCCCGTCCCACTTTCCCAGGCAGGACCCTTGAACTGGCTCTTCACAAAAGAGGACTTACAAATGGCCAATAAATATATGAGAAGGTGTTCAACTTCACAAGTCCTGTGGAAATGCATGTGAAACCACAATGGGATAGCACCACATACCAAACAGAAAGGCCGAGGTGAAAGAGGGGGGCAATGCCAAGTCTTGGCAAAGAGATGGTGCAGTTGGAACATTCCTACACTGCGGTACGACCATTGGAAAAACTGTTGGCATACATCTCATGACTCACTCCTAGGTATATGCCAACAGAAATGCTTACATGTGTTACCCAAAATACATGTACAAGAACGTCACAGTCGTTTCATTTCGAATAGCCTGACACTGGAAACAACTCAATGTCTATCAGCAATAGAATAGATAAATCAATTCTGGTATACTCAGACAATGGAATAGGGTCAGCCAATGAGAATATCAGATTGTCCCTACACACAACACAAATGAATCTCACAAAGATGAGGCTGAGAGAAAGAAATTAAACACATCACAAAAAAAATACATGTAGAGTGCATATAGGTCTGCTTGTATGAAGTTCAAAGGCAGGCAAAAGTAATGGATGGTCAGCACGGAGTTACCTTTTGGGGAGGGGGCATTGAGGAGGCTTCTGGGATACTGACAATATCCTGTTTCTTAATCTGGGGGCTGGTTATCTGGAAGTTTTCAGGTCATGATAATTATTCAGACTATACGGTGATAATGTGCTTACTTTTCTTTTTTTTTTTTTTTTAATGGAAAGGCCCCTTGCTTTTTTTTTTTTTAATTTTATTTATTTATTTGACAGAGAGAGACACAGTGAGAGAGGGAGCACAAGCAGGGGGAGTGGGAGAGGGAGAAGCAGGCTTCCCGCAGAGCAGGGAGCCTGATGCGGGGCTCGATCCCAGGACCCTGGGATCATGACCTGAGCCGAAGGCAGACGCTAAATGACTGAGCCACCCAGGTGCCCCTGTGCTTACTTTTCTTAATGTATGTAATACTTCACTGAAGGATTTTAAGACACCATTAGTTTAATAGGGATACAGGATAAATATAGGCTTCAATGGTGCTGGGTTAGAACGGTATAGACAAACTCATATTTTCACGTTGGTGGAGCAGGTTGATGATTAGAGTCACGGATAGTTGAAAACAGCTGCAGATGGAGTAGCCTGGGTGCTACAAATAGGAACAAATAGGAGTCTGAACAGGAGTCAAAAGCTAGAATGGATGGCAAGTAGCAGGACCGGCACGTGGTTGGCTGTTGGTCTGGACCACACCTGCACTTACAGATACGGATCCCTGCCACAGCACCCTCGTCCCACACAAAGGAAGCCTTTTTAATAGACCCTATGTGGCCATCTGCCAAGGGACAAGCAGACTCCCCGCTAGGCTGGGAGCCTGATGTGGGGCTCGATCCCAGGACCCTGGGATCATGACCTGAGCTGAAGGCAGACACTTACCCGACTGAACAACCCAGGCACCCCTGTTGTGAATATTGAATGAGTTAAAACATGTAAAGTGCCATTTATTCATCTTCTATTCCTTTATCAATCCCATCTAATTTATTCATCTTCTATTCATTTATCAAACCCATCTAATATACTGCTTCTCAGACTGGGTCCCAAGGATACCCCAAAGGTTCACTGATGGAAGATTCTTGGAGGTCCACGAAATTTTTCTGATAAAGGAGGCCATAACTAACTCAAGTTTCAGAAATCCTGAGCAAGAGGCCCAAAACTTTGTTCTAAACATCAACAAGAGCCTCAAAGACACGTAAGACCGAGTCCCTTGAAATCCAGCTCACATATCCTGTTGAATAAAAGAGCAAGTTGCAAAATAATACATATTTATGACCTCAGTGTTACTAAAATATATGCACGGACTTGAAACAAACTTGGATGGATAAATATCCAGGTGCATTCTCTCTAGATGATGGGTTGTGGGTGTGTTTTTATTATTTGCTTTTCTGATCTTTTCTGTGTTTTCTACATTTTCTACCACAAAGGTATATTACTTTGGAAATTTAGGAGAAAAATACATAGATGTTTATTATTTTAAAAAATCACTCCTAGCCAGAAGGCATAGAACAATCATATAGCTCCCAGCTGAACACACATACGCTCTCACAGAAAGGATAAAAAGACTTGAGCCTGTATCTTTATGTAACACCTCTCACAGCTTTTCTGTCCTCTATCGTATGCTAGTCCCTCGGTTTCTGGGAGAGGGAGTGTAGGACTATGAATTCTACACAGTGCCCAGCGGAGCGCTGCTCACAGAGGACACCCACGTGCAAAATAACCAGCATCACCGTTACAGAATCGCCAGCCGATGTGGGGGCATCCGGCCAAGCCAGCCCCGTAACAGGCACTTCACATGTTTTAACTCATTCAATATTCACAACAGGGGCGCCTGGGTTGTTCAGTCGGTTAAGTGTCTGATTCAGCTCAGGTCACGATCCCAGGGTCCTGGGATCAAGCCCAACGTCGGGCTCCCTGCCCAGTGGGGAGTCTGCTTGCCCCTCTCCCTCTGCTCTCCCCCCACCCGCTGCCTCTCAAATAAATTTTTAAAAAATCTAAAAAAAATATTCACAACCTTCTGCAGTGGGTAGCATGGTAATCCTCAATTTACAGATAAGGAAACTGAGGCACAGAGAAATTAGGTGACTTACTCAAGGTCACTCCCCAGGCATTGTATGGGAGAGGAGGGGTGGAACCGGTGGGGGGGAGTAGAACCCCCAGAGTTCTCACCCCTTCCCTTGACCACTGATAGGAACAGGGGCTGCTGACGTTTCTGAGCACTTTATCCAAGAGCAAGGGGAGCTTCACGCTTTCCACCCGTTGGCTCACCTACTTCTCTGACACCCTCCGCAGGCCCAGCTGAAGGGTGAGGCTTCTCTGCCCCCAGTTTCCAGCTGAAGGAGCTAAGGCTTCATGAGTTAGCCAAGGCCTCCCAGGAGGCCGGGGAGGCACCAGGCCTCACAGCCAGCTGGTCCAGGCCTGGAGCCCACCCTCACACCACGGGTCCACCCAACGTCTGCATGCTTTTGGATAAATACTTGTCCAGGTGGTGGGATCTCAAAAGCAAGCCCCGGGCTCACTATTTTTACCCACCATTTTATGGGAGGAGGGACGATGAGGCTTGTGTCTGTAAGTGGGGAAAGGGATGCAAGGGAGGGAGGGGTCTGAGATCTCTCTTTAGCTCAGTCTGAAATTAGCCTGAGACCAAAGACCTGTGACTTTTCACCCCTGTCACAGACCCCCTGAGGAGTTAAAGTGGGTCTTGCCAAGGGGTTGACATTTCCTCAGAAAGCAGGACAGAACATCCTAAGCGTGGGGGTTCGACACAGTGGTGCTGGGCCTCGGTGTCCACCGTTCACAGCAATGTGCTGTTAAGAAGGAAAGAGCTGGGAGCACTCGAAGTTGTTCAGATGAGGCTGGGGGTGCCGTGGGCCCCTCCCCAGGGGGTGACTCTGGGCAAGTCAGTTTACCTCTGGAGCCTGTGACTCTGCTGGGAAGTGCTGACCACAGCGTTGCCTCGAGGCTTAAAGACAGTGTCCTTGGACCACCATGACTGTCACCCAGGAGGCTGTCTGCGCATCCTGTTAAGGGCAACATGGTGTTAAAGGGATGCAGTCCCCAGTGCCACATGTGGTAGGTGTTAAGGACGAGGATGCTTGTGAAGAGGACGAGCAGGAGGGGCAAGAAAGGAAGGAGGGTGTTGATGTGGACATACTGCATCTCGCAGAAGTATGAGCTCAAAAGTCATGGAATAAAACAGAAATGAAGAATAGGGGCAGACACTTGGGTCTAAATGACAAGCCACAGGGGTGCCTGGGTGGCTCAGTCAGTTGAGCATCTGACTCTTGATTTTGGCTTGGGTCATGGTCTCGGGTCATGAAATCAAGCCCTGCATTGGGCTCCATGCTCAGTGGGGAGTCTGCTTGAGATTCTCTCTCTCTCTCTTTTCCCTCCCTCTACCCACAATCCACTCTCTTTCTCTCTCTCTCTCTCTCAAATAAATAAATCAATCTTTAAAAAATAAACAAATAAATGATGAGCCACGAACTACTCCATGGGATTTCTCACCTGAGCAGTCTTCACTCCCCATCTTACTGGGCCTCTCAGGATCTTCCACGGTTGGCCACCTCTCCTTCCTGAAGGCTCTACCTGGCTTCTTTGACACCTGTGTGCCCAGGCTCCCTCCTACCCCCCAGGTGCTCCTTCTTGGGTTCCTTTACAGGTCCATCCCTTTCTCAGAGTTCCCACACCTGGGAGGTCTATGGCCAGGTTCTACCAAGACCCTGTGCTTGTCTTACTCTCTGTTCTCTCCTTAGATCATCACTCCCAGGTCAATTTCTGAAGTTACATTCCACTTTT